GAAATTTACTGCTGTGCCAAGCTGAAAGTTGGTAAGGAGAACAGTGTGAAGAGTTTTGAAAAGTACTGAGAAATGTGTCCTAGCCACTGAAAACAACTGTAATAAGAGGGCTACGGCTCTTTGCAGTAATAAAATTTGTAGTATATTGGCCAGGTTTTATATATATATTAAAACATCACAATAATGAAAATGACGAACAAAACAAACACAGAAGCATTTGAGATGTGACAATCTCGACTTCCTCGAGCTCCTACGATGCTTCCTCTGTTTTATTCTCCTCTTCAGCTTTCTTCTCTTCAACTTTCACCGCTTCCTGTTCCACATCTGTTTTTTTCTCTTCCTCTGGCTTCTGCTCTTCGGCCGCTGCCTCCTCAGCCACTGGCTCGTCTTCTTTCTCCACCTCCTTTGCCTCCTGTGGCTCTGCCTTCGGCGGCTCTGCCTGTGCACTGGCTGCCGCCTCAGCCTGCGTCTCCTGGGTTGAACTCTCTGGTTGTGTTTCGTTTTCCAAACAACGTTGTTCGCTGACAGCCTGCGCCAGATAGCCAATCAGATTCATATACTCCTGGAAGCTGACCTTCCCATCCTGGTTGTTGTCAAGCTGTTGACGCATGTTTTTGACTGCCTCATTGTCCTCTGAGCCCTAAACACAAAGTTCCTCAGATGTTAATCACTGATGAAGCAAGTTTGCAGCTTGTATTAATTGTCATTTCACATTTTATTGGAATAAACCGCTCGAGGCGATACAATGTCCAATATAAACTAGATCCTATCAACTTTCTGAAATAAAAGCACATGCTCATGAATAACCTGCTGTCATTACGTCAAGGTGTTTTTGCGTGGTTTCTAGCATGCTGCTATGGATACAAGCCTCTATGATTCAGCTTTTTATAGCAAGTTTACAGACCCGTTTATGGTATATCGGGAAATATACCGAAAATGGTTGTTCAGAAGATTAATAACACACTTCTCCACAAGAAAGTGCACGCTTTGAGTTATCATTCATGTCTGAAGCACAAACATGTCATTTAATGTGGCACCAGAGCAAATAAATGACTATTCGGACACAAGTTTGTGGTTTCTGCTCATCTCATCAAAGTCCAGATAATAAGGAACAATGAATGATGAATGAATATCAAACAAAGTGTTGCTAGATTTAACAAAACTGAATGCAGCTTCTAACCGTCAGAATGTTTTTCAGCTGGTTCTTCACGAGGCTCTGGAACTCCTTCCCTCCGAGGTTTTCCTTGCCCTTGGATGACTTCAGGTAGACACTCACCACGGTTTTAATTGCTGCATCCATCTTTGCTTTCGCTCTACGAGAAGATGAAAACATTTATTATACAACTGACATTTGGGTTGCACGGATATTAAAATGATAGCTGATGGATGATAAATGACCAATATTAAAATTCTATTTTGTTGCAATAAATTATAGATAAAACACTAAAAACTAACAAGCATTTTAAAGGCTACAAGTGAATTTAGGCAACACAACATTATAATGCACATTATGAAAATTCAAAATGAGAAATATTTCGTTTCTAAAAATTACACTAGCGTTCAGAAGGTCAGTAGGATTTTTATTATTTTTGAAAGAAGTCTCTTATGCCCACCGAGGCTGCAGTTATTTTATCAAAATACATTAAAGCAGGAATAATGCAAATATATTTAGAATTTAAAATAGTTTTTTTTTTTTTT